CACCTGTCCAGCCCTGCCGGCTCCAGCGTTAACGACGGGATCCCTGCCGAGCCTTTCTCTTTGCAGTACATCAGCATTGATGAAGCCATTAACATCATTATGTCCTCCCCGTCTCCTGTCTATCTCTCTAAACTCGATGTGAAGAGCGCTTTTCGTCAAATACCTGTCCGCCCACAGGATTGGTGTCTTCTCGGCATGCTGTGGCAGGGGAAGTACTACTACGACCGTGTCTTGCCATTTGGGCTCCGCTCTAGCCCGGCGGTATTTGATGCCGTGGCAGCCACCATCGAATGGATAATGCACCACGAATTCTCCATCCCTAATTTGCTGCATTTCCTGGACAACTACTTGTGCGTGAGCGTGGGCCAGGCAGTGGCGAATCGGCAGCTGGCCATTCTTCTCCGTGCATTCTCATACCTCGGAGTCCCGCTCGCGCCTGCGAAGGTGGAAGGCCTGTCTCGTACCCTGACATTCCTGGGCAATATCCTGGATTGTAAGAAGATGGAAGCCCGGCTCCCTGATGACAAATTGGCTGACATCAAGTGCCTGTTGACTGCAGCGAGCATCAACCCCACCATGTCTCAGCGCGAACTCGAATCTCTTCTTCGCTGCAAGAGTCATCGTACCCGGCCGGACATTTATGCGGCGCCTCTGGTCTGTTTGCAGTCGCTACCAGCAGCCTCACTACCGCATCAGTCTGACTACCGAGTGCCAGGAAGATATCCAATGGTGGCTACGGCTCCTGGAACAATGGAACGGAAAATCATTCTTCCTGTTCCCAGATTGGACACCATCTCCAGACTTGGAGCTGTTCACTGATGCCGGTGGCACCCTGGGCTGGGGCGCATTCAACAGAGGCCGCTGGCTTCAAGGGACCTGGTCGCCTGAGCAACTCGCTCACAGCATTGAGTGGAAGGAGCTCTACGCGTTGGTCACAGCGTGCTGCACGTGGGGCAAGGAATGGCGTCAGCTTTGTATCACAATGCACTGTGACAACAAGGCGGTGGTAGATTGCATCCGCTCCGGCACATCCAAGTCACCGCCAGTGATGACCCTGATCAGGGAGCTGTTCTTTGTGTGCGCCCGCTTCAATTTCACCGTCACTGCTGCTCACAATGCTGGCCAGTCGAACTGCATTGCCGATTCGCTGTCTCTCTTTTCTGCATGGCGGAATTTCGGCGTGTCGCCCCAGCTGCTCAAGCACAGCCAGACCAAGCAGTGCTGCCATTCCAGCCGATGTAATATAGCCTTGACGTACAGGTACCGATTGTCATTGCTAAATTGCCGTATTGAGAACCTGCGTTGGATTTCATCCATCTGCATGCCTACCTTTATCCATCTCGTGCCTTAATCACTTGTTCTTAGCTCTCGCGCATTGGTGGTGAACGCTTGCTGGGGTGCCGTGTGCTGGTTTTCTGGGAACAGCTTCCTTCAACTGGTTGCTTTGCTGCTACTATCTCTGTTTAAAATTGCATACTATTGGTCGGCTGTTTGCGACGCCAATCAGTAGTCATTGCACCCGGTCGCGGGTACTATTGCCGCTCAAGCATTAGCGATTGCTTTGGCCGTTTGCAACGCCAATTGCTTCACCCTGGTTGGCTGTTTGCAACGTCGATCAGGGAACTTTGCACCTGGTCGCGGGTACTGCTGCGGCTCAGTCGTGAGCGATCACTTTGGCTGTTTGCAACGCCAATCGCTTCACCAGTTGATCGAAACCAGCACACTGGTGTACCCCAATCATCATTGTGCGGTGTTGTGAGAATACGTGGGTATGCATGCAGCTTTGCTCTGTGACTTTCCGTTGCATGTAGTTACTTGGCTCTCCCATTTCCTATACACTGCTCTGAGCACGGGCGGGACGACGACGATGAGCAACCTGCCTCCAGGCTGAGCAATCCTGGGCAGCATCAAATCAGCAGTCAGAAGGCACAGGGGGGCTGATGGAGCGGAGATCATCCACGATGACGTCACGCCACCGCTTGCGTGGACCACGGCGTTGCAGGGAGCTCCCCAAACAAAACTCGCTTCGGCATACGATCGTCGTTCATCCGGCCAACATGGCCAAGCCAACGCAGTCAATATTCCCGGATGATATCCGCGACGTCACAGTCAATGCCGAGGGTAACAAAGGTGACACGGTTGTCCCACCGGTCCCGCCTGGATGCGCCAACGATGATGCGAACGCACTGGTGATGAAAGGTGTTGAGAGAATGCAGGTCCGGTGTCATCGGCGTCCACGTCTCTGCTCCGTATAGGAGGGTCGTCAGCACAAGGGCGATGTACACGCGTCGCCGACAGCGGAGAGATAACGACCGATTCTCAAACAACGGAACACTGAGACTGCCGAACGCATGCGAAGCCTTGGCGAGACACACACGCACGCACACACACATACACAAACACACACACACAAACACAAACACACACACACATGTACACTGACAGCCACACATACAATTGCCTTGCAATGTTCTCAGTTCATAGTAGAAATGGGACTGCTGCAGCACGGATCTGGCAAGGAATGGACATGGAGCAAATTATGCTAGGCTGGCTGTTCAAGCGTAGCGCACCCAGGAAGTCGACTGTCAACGTTCCAGAGTTGCTGCAGGCGGGTGGCAGGCATAGATCCATGCCGGAGTCCAGGCGTGTGGCGTGTGGCGTGTGCCACAGGCTGCCAACAAGAGAACCTGAAGCTCAGGACTTACTTGGCGGCAATGGTAGCGCCATACAAGGAATGCCAGCTTCTGCTTGTGTACTTCAGTTACCCGATACAGTGAGGGGCGGTCTAGAAGGTCATGTGCAAATGTTCATGGCGGGCGTCGGAACGCTACACGGGCAGTAAGGACACGCGATTGTACACAAGTGACTGCTAACTGGACATGTCCAAAGCATTTGATAAAGTTGGACATAACCATCTCGACCTTTTCTATATTGGCCACAGCCCTGCGGTAGTTCACGTTTTATCTCTCTGAACAGAACCAGCATGTCTGTATCGGACCATCACGCAGCACTATCACTCACTGCACCTGCGGAATGCCACAGGGATCTGTGTGTGTGTGTGTGTGTGCATCTGTATGAGTTTTCGTTCAGTGGATCATCCTAGCCGATCCTTCACCCCCTCGAAAAATAGGTGACAATCAGAAAGGCAGTAGAAGTGTGAGCCGGCAATTCTTGATCCAAATTTCATCATTGTGTTCATGTGCGATTTGAAAAATATAATCTGCCCCGAACTCGCCGTCACTGACCTGAACGCGGCCTCGTACAACCGTCATGCAAACGAATAAGCCCGAGCTTATTTTTCTCTTGTAAATGGCCTTTATTTAGAATTATTTCCTTTTTTTCTATAATTATATGTACGAACTTAGTTCGAACAATCAACTTCATAACTATTTGTACATTTACAAAAATATATACACGATCGATACAGCAGTCAATCAATAAAGCTGATAATTACACAGCACACAACATGCCAACAACGGCATAACAATAGGGAAATGTAAAAACGCACACCTCAGAAACGCAAGAGAACACCCTTGAAGCTCTTCGGCCGTTCGAAAGCGTACCATCCTGTCTCATTTTTTTTCATCCTGATCGCGTTTTTTCTTCATCCTGAGCGCGTTTTTTCTTCTTTTTTCCAGCTCCAGTAAAACTGTATTTTTTCATTGCAAAGCCATCCTCGATTGTGTTCGTTGTTCAAGCGAAGCGAAGTGGACATTCAATCAAGAAGGCAGAGGACGTAAGAGTCTGACTGGAGTTTCTTGTGGCATAGGACGTCCATACAGAGACACTTTGTATTTTGTATTTTATTATATTTAAGGGATTCCCAAAGGCTTTGGGCCTGTCGAGGGGATCTCCTGCAGGAGGAATGAAATGACAACTTTATTTAGAGGGAGCAGTTAATCGAGGATAGGCTAAGGAAATAGATCGACTTTGCGATTTTCTGAATGTAACATACCGTACGCACAATGCAGACTTCAATTCGTGCGAGTATCAAAATTGTTTGTGATCTACCACATCGAGCAGAACGGGATCCAACCATAAGCTTACCGACAGTAAGGCTGCAGACCTGACTGGACAAATGACTCCTGGCTTCACCAGGCACCAGAAGTCGGAAACCATGTCCATCTCCAAAAACAACTCCATCGCCGTCTAAAAATGCTTGAAATACTCAATATTCAACCGAGGTTCGCGGTTTCACGCTTCCTCAGATTCAATCATTTTTGTTCAAGCAGTTGCAGGGGAGATCCCCGCAACTATTTCAACAGAGTTTTGGCTCCAAAGCATGCCTGGAACCAGCCATATCGAGGTTGCAAGCCATCCCTCTCATCAAGAAGTTCGAAATGGGGAGGATATACTATGAAGAAATTTTCAAAAAGTATGGTTCGCGGCATGATCGTTCAACCTACATAATTCAAACTTTGCAGGATGGTTCTGACCTACATGCTAGCATGGAACCACAGGGTTTGATGTCATAGCTGACACACAAAGTCACACACACAGCACATTCGTGTGCACAGATACTTAATTAGTGGACGTCATCATCTCCTTCGCGCTGGTGTGAAATGTACTATGAAACGCTACAGTTATGATTATGTTCCTGGGCTTGACCTTTGCGGCTTCTAATAGCTCAAGATAATCGGCAAGCTCGACATTAAAAGCATTAATTGGTGGGCATTTGTCTGGTGGGCTATTGCCAGTACAATGACATCCATGGAGAGATAGGTTCGGCTGTGTTGCAAGAACTTGAATTTCTTGTCAAGTACATGTACTTCAAAATGACAAGAAATCATCGGAAAGTGTCTGTCATGCTTACACCTGTATACTTACTTAGCTCCAAGAAATAGGATAAGTCTATAGTCCCTATACCGATAGCCAATTCCCCGTTTTGTTGACTGACCAGCAGTACACCTTTTTGCAGTTCACTGCAGGTAATTGTGTTACATCAGCCATGATTGTATTCTGTGTCGTGTTGTATTGATCTGCTCTGTTGCTGTGTACAGGTCAGGTTAGTGTGCATTTGGACGCTTTAAGGCATGGTTTTGGTCTAAAAACATACACAGTCTACTACCTGAATGGATCAAGTACAGAACTTGTTGGACTAGATTTTTTACCATCGTGTAGTGCTGAAGTACTTGGTGCTGGTGCTAGTGGTCAGTATTTACGACTGACCAATACTGATACCAGTACAACTGTAGCTGATCTGGGAGCATTCAGTATTGCACCTACAACCCGTCCATTTTCACTATTCTGGAACACATTAACTCTGGACCCAACCTACACTGGACAGTACAGGTGTATTACAGATATAGGAAATTCATCAGAGACATATCAACTCAATGTCGTAGGTATGTACACAATGACTGTGTGTAGTGTTAGTTATAATGACGAGACACTTGACATAGGTATTCTCAGTATTGTGCATCTACCCAAGATGATGACATCATGGCAACCTCTTCCCTTTCTTGCATAATATTATTAGGTGCTAGTAAAGTAGAGAGAGGTGTTATTGCAACACAAGTTTGATGCTCAGGGGATCATTAGGCAAATCAATCTCTTTTCAAACGGTAACAATTGGCTCATATCTAAGTATTGTAAAGGAAAGTAAGTGAAGTGACTAGAGGTGGTATAAGCCATCGGGGGAATCACATTGTTGGTCTTACTATTACATGAGTAAAAAAATGGCGGGAAGGATGCATACACACACACACATACGTACCCAGGCGTGTGCACGCACACACACACACATATACACACACACACACAAGTACACATTATCTAACCCACATACACACACTCACACGCACATGCACACACATGCATACTCGCGCTCGCTCGCGTGCACACACACACACATACACATGCACACACATACATAGCCGTGCACGCGCACACACCTTTGACCTTTGACCTTTGATGCCCATCGCCAGAGGCGATGATAGCAATGCTACGGCAGAAGCCATAGCAACTTGTGCTGGGATTGCACCATTCAACAGCTTGCAAGGCTGAAGAATTGACCGTCACTATTCAGCCTGGTCTACACCATACAGCTATTTGAAGTGATTTTTCTGGCCAGTGAATCCCTATTTTTGGTCTTTTTTATTTTATTTTTTTCCCGCACACACATCACACCACATACTCCGGCATGCACTGGCTGTTGGTAACCACTCAGGAGAATGAAAGAAAAGTCAGGAAGAGTCTGAGAAAGAGAAGAAAGACGTGTGTGACCATAATCGTCGGGAATCGAACCCGCAACCTATCGATTGGAAATCGCTGCACATACCACTGCGCACACACACACACACGCACACACACACGCACACACACACACAAACACACACACGCACATACACAAAAAATACTCACACACAAACACATGCACATAATGTCAGTGGGGAGAGAATTCCAGGTGGCAGCGGTAACAAAGAGGAAAGTGGCCCGCGAGTAGGTGTTCGCCCTGGCAGGCGGGACAAGTTGGAGAGGGCGCCGCGCGCTGGTGGAGAGACTATAGCCCAGCTTCATAAGGGCAGTGGTCTGGTGGTGGACCAGGTGATGGAGGTCACGGAGGCACTGGATGTGTCGCCGTCATGCCGGACTTGGCCATTGGAGGTGCGCGAACAGAGATGCCTTTGGTTCAGTAGCGGAGGGAAACACCTCTTACTGTCTCAAGACGACTTCTACTTCACCACCAATGCAGTAAAGAATACACCAACGTTGCGAGGTCCGTTGATTACCGTCGACTGAATCACCTCGATCTTGAAATGAACTTTTTTTTAGCCTTGGCATGCCCATTCATTTTTGCTGTGTGGTCACAGCTCATGCAGGTAAGTGTACTATCATGTCGAGCGCGCACTCTTTTTCCGCATCACAGGTAGGGTAGATCTACCTGCGCGTGCATCACTAGCACTAGTCTACACGGCCCTTGCAGGTACGAGTCTTGTACTGAGTGTCTCAGCACCTTGCATGAATGGAAGAGCAATCAATTGTTTCGCTCTTGCATGCATTAGATTGCTGACCCCTAGATGTTTCTCCAAGCGCTGCCGCTTGTTCCACGAAGTCATTCTCACCTCAGCTCAGGTAAAACAGTGATGAGTGTTTGAGTGAATGGCTATAAGCACGACAATTGTGCAGGCTGCAACGCCTGACTGATTGCAGCGAGTTGAAAGTATCATCGCAGCGACACCAGCGAAGAAATTGCGTCTAGTTCAAAATGTTCAGCTTCCAAGAACAGTTTTTAGATCTTTGCCATCACCCTATACTGATGACTATCGTCTATGTCCGATTCCTTATCTGTGGTCTGGCTGCTGGTGAGTAAATACCCCGTTTTATTTCAAAATTCAAACTGCGATAATTTCGATGACGCGGGGAAAGAAATATTTTTTCGAGAAAAGGTCGATTTGTGACGTTCATCGATTTTTTTATCAAGCTGCAAACAGCGCAACGGGATATTTACTCCTTAAGCTCCTTGCGCGATTGCTTGAAGTTATTTTTTGAAGTTGAAGTGGTGTGTCGAGTGCCGACTCAAGTGTTCCTTGATGTTGTCACGATGGCTGCATCAGTCATTGTCTACAGCTAGGTCGAGCCTGGTGGGGAGTGGATGCTGAAGTAGCACTGAAATTCAGAGAGAGGATCGGACGTTCTTTTCTTCCGACATCGATGTCGACAGCGAGGCGGAATCGCAGTAGTCATCCCGTGCTCCGATGCGGCTCAAGCTGGCCTATGAGTCGGAAGATGAGGAGTCGCTATATGAGGTAAATTCTGAGTTTGCACGCAGCAAGTGCTGTTGCCACGAACCAGTGGCGCTCCAACTGGGCTGCAATTATTTATGGGTCTAAGACCACCGCCAACCCGCAGTGAGCTGGGTAAAGGTCGTCTCGCATTCCAAGGGGCTAGGCTGTGGAATGCGTTGCCCAGCGAGGTACGGGCCATACCGCACCCGGCCCAATTTCGCACTGCTGCTGTTCCACACAGCATGAACTTTTGAGGTCAAACCGATCACTATCACCATATTTTCATTATATGCGTGTCTATTGGTCTGCCTGCCCGTCTCTCTCCCTGTTTCTCTGACAACCTGCTTGTTAATTCGTGCGGTTGTTTTCAGACGTAATGCCCTGTTGTAGAGGTCTCAGTCCTCATTTGTTAGTCTCTCTGTCTCTCTGTCTCTCTCTCTCTCTCTCTATCTTTCTCTCTCTCTTTCTCTCTCTCTCTTTCTCTCTCTCTCTCACTCTCTCTCTTTCTCGGATCTCTCTCTCCATCTCTTGCTCTCTATCTCTCTCTCTCTCTCTCTCTCTATCTCTCTCTCTCTCTCTGTTTTTGGTGGACAAAAACTTCTCTCGCGTTGATTGCTTTCTGGCTTCGACTTCTGCCGCGCCTTTGTTCTTGTACTCCCCTTTATGTACAAGTGTTGTGCAAACCCTCCTTTAATATTGTGCCCTGAGATGTTTTGATGCATAGTGATTATGACGCTCATCATTCGCTCCCTTGTCACTGGACAGTTCTGTCCGTTAGATTTTAGCGAATTCAAATAAAGAAAACAACAACAACAACAACTCTCTTATTGGCCGCATGCCATCGTGAGAATAAAAGATTTCAACTATTCAGGATTCTTATACCCGAGCATCATTGACATGCGACACCCTAGACGAATTAGCAATGACACTCTGTATAAACGCTGCGGAGCTGTCCCCATGAGCGAGATGATCACAAGGCAGCGCTACAGTCTCGCTGGTCATATCTTTTGTTTGGCGCCAACTGCTCCTCCACAGTTGGCAGTATCTTCGCTTGGCCAACGACGAGGGCACTGAATGCTTCAGGGGTCGACCTCGAACGACTTTGGTAACGGTCTTGCAGACGGAACTGTCATCATGGCATGGACTTACCCTCCGCCAGCCGCTAGATCCTGACGCAGTCCGAATAATGGCAGCGGACCGACAGGCATGGCGTGGAGCCCGCCCCACCTAACAGTACTTATTCTCGTGATCCACCTGATCCCGCCAGACATGTTGTATGCATATTCTATTTTATTCCCCTAGCTATGCAGAAGACGTTACTTCAGTAACGTCTGGCGCTAGCCAGGGTCCACACAGTTTTGATTTGGTATTTGTGTGTTTGTTTGTTTGTTTGTTTGTGTGTTTGTGTCACGCCTGGCGCTATCCCGTATCTGTCCCGTACCGTACCATCAAACACAGCTGGCCACATACAGCTGGCCGCAATATTCAAATAGGGCTTTCAAACGCAAGATCATAACGTGAAGCAACTTGGAAGAATGGGTATGAATGCGAAGTGTATGGGGGAATGCATGTTGGGCGATAGTGCGGGTTCGAATCCCAGGATATGCCTGAAAAAATAGGAGAATTGAAAAATTTATAACATGCCTATGCTTTTTTGCCGTCATCAAGGCGGTAGACGGTGTCGTATAACCCTCTATCGTACCTGTCCCGTACCTATCCCGTACCGTACCGTACCATCAAAGACGGCTGGCCACAATGCATATTCAAATAGGACGAGAATCCAGTAGAGCTTGTGAAAACTGCACGCCGGGGAGGAAGGAAAGGTGTCGAAATTCGCCAACGGTCACCAGGACCGGTACAACTGCACATCCCGTAGAGGTTCAAACCGTTCGGCACGTGCTTCAGAATGCTCGCCCACAGAGGACACAGCCTGTAGAACTACCGGTATCACAGTCGACAACGCCAACGATTCTGTGTCGGAGTCTCAGCAGTTGGCGTGGGACGTTCTGGACCAGCAACTCATTGGGAACGCGCAACCAGTCCGTCTACACGCACCGCAACTGACATGCCACCGTCCAGTACCATTGGTAGGTCAACGTCTAGTCAGCTGCTGGCATACCTCGATCAAAGTCAGGATGACCTACCAGTACCAGGCCCACATGAACCCGACTGCCCACAACCAGGGAGGCCTGCGACATTTGACTTGCCTGTGTACACCGAGACAGCACGGATCAACTTTGTTCTGGGCACCATGACTGCAGAAGAATGTGCCAATGCCATCAATAGAACATACGACGAAGCTGTGGATTTTCGGCCGAATGCCTTCGATGTCCCCAGTGGCGGTGTGGGCAAAGATTTTGTGAACCAGCTCAGCCAGTATCTGCTGGTATTTGGCAATGCCGGTCCCTTTGAAGGCCAGGCTCTGAAAGTTGCCATGGTGTTCCAGCTGCTACTCCTCCAGAAGCCGTTTCAAGCCGCCACCTCCTCGCATGCCAAGTGTCTGAAGCGTCGTCTGGAGCTGTGGAGAGCAGGGGCGCTTTCAGACCTCCTGCATGAATGTCGCACCATACATAACCAGCTGGAAAAGCAACAGGCGCAACGGGACAGGATCACCACCGATAATGCCAGACGGTTTGCTTCGCTTGTGACCGACGGCAAACTGGGTGCAGCACTGCAATATCTGGATGATGACACCTCGGGAGGCATACTTGACCTGGATGACAGGATTGGCGACAGGCCTGTCAGAGATATCCTAGTGGAAAAGCACCCCCTTGCCGAACCAACCCAACCGGCCGCCGTGCTTCCCGGCACACCTCCAGCACCACCACACCCCGTACGGTTCGAAGCACTCACTCGAGATGTTGCTCGCCGGGCTGCACTCAGCACCCATGGCGCAGCAGGCCCCTCTGGAGTGGATGCCGACATATGGAGACGAATGTGCACCGGATTTGGTGTTGCGTCAGACGACCTTTGTGATGCGGTGGCCTCATGTGCAAGGCGCTTGGCGACATCCATGGCAGACCCCTGGTCACTGCAAGCCTACACGTCATGTCGCCTAATACCATTGGACAAAAAACCGGGAGTCAGGCCCATCGGCATAGGGGAGGTTTTAAGGCGGATTGTGGGCAAAGCCATCCTCAGCCTTCTGCGAGACGACATCCTGGAAGCAGCCGGCAGCCTACAGCTTTGTGCCGGTCACGAGTGTGGAGTAGAAGCCGCTATTCATGCCATCAGAGAAGTTTTCGCAGATGACGAAACGAAAGGCCTCCTTCTAGCAGACGCCTCAAACGCGTTCAATTGCTTGAATCGTGCTGTATATCTGCAGAACATCCAGCATCTTTGTCCAGCCATGTCACCAATTGTCATCAACACTTACAGGCAACCCGCACAGCTCTTTGTCGGTGGAGAAGTCATCCTCTCTTCCGAAGGTACCACGCAGGGGGACCCGATTGCAATGCCTCTCTATGCTCTCGGTGTTCTTCCTTTGCTGCAGTCAGTCTCTACTGCAAATACTGTGCAAGCCTGGTTTGCTGATGACTCAGGAGCAGGTGGCAAGCTGATGCCTTTGCGTGCATGGTGGCATAGCCTAACAGAGCAAGGTCTTGCCTACGGCTATCATCTCAACCCGTCCAAGTCGGTTCTCCTGGTTAAACCGAAGCATTATGATCGAGCAGTGGAGATGTTCGCTGACACTGGAGTTGACATCCGCGTCGATGGTTGCCGGTACCTGGGTTCGGCTATTGGTACGCCTGCGTTCCTGGATAGCTTTGTTGAGCAGAAGGCAACAAGATGGCTCAACCTCGTGGAGAAGTTGTCCTCGTATGCGGAAACGCAACCACAAGCTGCATACGCTGCACTCACCCAAGGCCTGCAGAATAAGTGGTCTTTCCTCTGCCGCACCACACCAACAGCTGCAGCTGCTCTGACGCCTGTGGAGAAGCTGCTAATGGAGAGGCTCATCCCCGCTCTTACCGGCCATATTGTCAACTCGGAGGAAAGGTCAATTCTTGCGCTTCCATGTCGTCACGGAGGGCTCGGGCTGGGCAATCCCGTGGATCTCGCATCCCAGTATGATGCATCGCGAAGGGTGACTGAGTCCTTGCAGACCAACATCAAGCTGCAGACTATGGCGCTCGGCTCTGCAACCAGTCTCGTTCGTACTGCCAAGGCGGAGGTGAGGATAACAGCACGGAATGCTGTCAAAGCCCAAGCCCTGCTGCTCCGCTCCAGTGTGCCGGAGGCCAAGCAGCGTGTAATCGACCTGGCTGCGGAGAAGGGCTCTTCCAGTTGGCTGACCTGCAGGCCCTTGAAGCGCCATGGATTTGCCCTCTCCAAAGCGGAGTTTCGCGATGGAGTGCACCTAAGGTACAACTGGCAACCACAGCGCACGCCATCAGGGTGCGTTTGTGGAAGCCAGTTTACTGTGGCCCATGCCCTCTCGTGCCCCACCGGCGGTTACCCTACCATCAGGCATAACGAGATCCGCGATGTGACCGCTGGTTTCTTGAAGCGTGTTGCCACCAACGTATCTGTAGAGCCTCATCTGGAGCCCCTGAGTGGGGAGCAGCTGCGCTATCGCACCGCCATCCGCGACGACCAGGCTCGCTTGGACGTAGCAGCAAATGGAGTGTGGGGAGGGCGGTTCGAACGCACCTTCTTCGACGTCCGGGTGTTCAACCCTTTTGTGTCTTCGAACCAGTCCTCCTCCATTTCTGCCACCTACGTTTGCCATGAGAAATCGAAGAAGAGATCGTATGAAGAGAGGCTGCGGGAGATCGAGCATGTTTTATTTGTCCCGTTGGTCTTCTCGACAACCGGTGGCATGGGCAAGCAATCTGCCTCGCTTTACAAGCGAATTGCATCTCTCATTGCTGAGAAAAGCGGCGAACCGTATTCGGTTGTTATGTCATTCATCCGCTGCCGCCTTAGCTTTGCGTTGCTCAGAGCGATTGTCATGTGCCTGCGTGGTAGCCGCTCTGTTTTCGCTGTACATGCACCTGTCTCTTCTTCTGCCTCCCTAGTTGCTGCCGAAGCTGGCACTTCCCGTCATTAATTTTATAGTCTTTAGTTCTTTAACCTCTTTAGCGCGCATGCATTTGACACTGCCCCACGCAGTCAAAATTGGGCAAAATTGGCATCAGCAAAAATAGAGCAAAGAACACTTTCATTTCTTGTACGCTAACGTCTACCCATTTCCTAAATCTGCTACGAGCTGGGAGTGTGTCACGGTGTGCATTTAGATATTGCTGGGCAAATCGATTGGTCTCAGTGCAGAGCAATTGCCAAAATTGTAAAGTAAAAAACAGGCAAAAATAATGATATGGCTCAGCATTTTCTGGCACTGGCACCTTGATACCGGGCTGGGCAGTGAACGAGTCTTGCAAGGGCTGGTTTTCTTCCATCTTCCATTGCCCTAATACATCACAACACGAATAATATAGGAAATATCAGGCCACATGATGCCCTACAGTGTAGGAAGGCTGATGTACGTCTCAAATACTCTGGAATTTAGGCAACATTTTGTTTGAAAATTCTCTAGTTACGATATGCATAACGCCAAACAGATCTTGAACGATGGCCAGGAATATTACAGTAAGACTACTTTCAACAAAGGTACAAACCCACGTATAATAGTTTTACTCAGCTCAAAGTGCAAACACAGCGTACTCAAATTCACACGAACAAATAAATACTATTGAAAAGATAATTACCTTCGCTCCCATCGTCTCCTGCGGCAAGCTGCTCCTGGATGTGGACATGCGACCTCTCGGACGCCTGTTCATCATCGTCGCTCTCCGTGCCACTAGTAGTACTGCTGCTACTGTTGTCACGGACGTCCGCCGGCTGCGCTTCATTCGCAACATCGATGTCCGCGTGCTCCGCGACGTACTCATCGACACTGGCGCTTGCTCCGCCACTCACATCAGGCGCAGTTTCGTTCTGAACTCTGGCCCTTGCTGGCGTCCATAGACCCTCCTCGTCGCTGTCGCTACTCACTGACGGCTCCACATCGCTGTCTGAACTCAGAAACAGCTCGTGGAGCGCTTCGTCCACAGTTCTTCCTCTCGCGCGGCGCAGCATTTTCAACCAAAATGTTCTCGCCTGAAACTATTCCCCGTGCGTCTCCTTTCGTTCGATTTTTCCCGCCTCGAATCACGTGCCGGTTCCAGGCAGCCCCCAGCAGCCCGCGAACAGCCAGCGGTCCACGACAGAGCCACTGGGACTCGATACGGACCCCACGATCACGATAGGCAGCTTCGCTCTACAGCGTCGTACTAGTACGACGGTCGTGGGGCATGCAACTAATGTGCGTCGTACTAGTACGACGCTCGCGCTAAAGGGGTTAATATTATTATTTGCCATGGCGACCCCCGTAAGCCCAAATAGCTGGCAGGGCAGGGTTGGGCCTTTTTTTCTTTTACTTCACAGGTGTAGCATTCTATCAGTCATTACGTATGATTTATACAGTGGCAGTATATTCAAATAGGGCTTTCATACGCAAGATTATAACGTGAAGCAACTTGGAAGAATTAGTATGTATGCGAAGTGTATCGGGGGATGGGTTCGAATCCCAGGTTATGTCTTAAAAAAAGGAATTTTTTAAAGAATTTATAACATCCCTATGCTTTTTTTGTCTAGGTCGTCAAGGCAAAAAAGCATAGCGTAGGGCCCTGAGCTTCCAAGCTCTCTCGTTTTATACTTTGGATGAAGTTTTCCATTTGTCCTATTGGTATTGTTGCTTTTGTTGACGTCACTTCTGTCATTTCATTGTATCGTATCACTCTTCAGACATCAATCCTGAATGGCATAAGCGAAAGTGGCACCCCCGCCGCCTACGCGGACATGCTTTTAATAATAATAAAATAATAATAATATACCCGAGCTTGAATTTGTTTGGTGAGGAAGAGAGCTCCGGCAAAGTCCATGACCACCACGGCTTCAATAACAATTAGACATTGAGCAGGAAGGGTCGCACCAATGTTCGACCACAGAAAACAGCGATTCCGACAGTTGTTGTTGTTGTTTATTTTACTTCACCAAATGAACAGGCAGAGATGCCTTCTCACCTGCCCATAGGACAGGTTCTCACAGAATGATGAAGGGATGATATGCAAGGGAAAAAAAGAAATTATAATAATATAATATATACAGTTGGACTAAGACGAGCAAGTCACAAATATTGCAATGTGCGAAGCGACAATTTTTAATGACGCGGAGGAAGTACGTTTCTCGAACCTCCTATCACAAAATGACAACACCCAACATATACGTGTAGGACTCAGTATAGAGTCCATGCACTATATGATGTCCAGCACCCTATATAGAGTCCATTGGTCCAAAATCCACTATACAGAGTCCAGGAGTCCACTCAGTTTTGATCAGCTTCATCCTGCCGCGCAATCCCCTATAAGGAGTACACTTTTTCTACAAGTCCCCTATTCACGGTCCAGGAGTCCAGTTTATCCAGTCACGCTCCAGAGGTGTTCCTCAAGGAAGTGTACTTGGACCTCTCTTATTTGTTCTCTACATAAGTGATATAGCGTCTGTGCTTCCACATGAAGTTTTCAATCAAGAGTTTGCAGATGATATCGTTGTTGATTACTCCGACCGTGACCCTGCTGTTGTTTGTGCTGTGCTCACGACAGCAGTCACCAATCTTTCGTCCTGGCTTGAGGACAAAGGTTTGCTATTGAACTCAGCTAAGACTCAAGTAATGTTTGTTCGTCCCAGAGGTGCGTTTGACGCTGCTCCGTCACTCGTCACCTGCAACAACAGTGTTCTGCAAGTCACACACGTGGCAAAATACCTCGGTGTGTTGATTGATGACCAGCTAACTTGGGCACCCCACATCGAGTTTCTGGCGAAAAAATTGGCGTCGACCACTGGACAGCTTTGGAGGCATGGCCGGGCCTTGTCACTGAAAGCACGTCGAATGTGGTATATGTCTATGATACTATCTCATCTCTGTTACGCCTCTAATTGCTTCTTTCCTGCGCTTTCACGGTCTCTGCTAAATTGCCTTGTAAAACTGCATAAGTCTGGTATTCGTGCTGTGTTTCAGGCTCCCCGCCGCACTGCAACAGCTCCCTTGCTTGCTAAGTTATCCATGCCATCACTTCAACAAGTTCTTTTACAGAAGCTGCTTGTATTTTTATTCCGGTCTATACACGGATCTGCAAGCTCTCTCTTTCAAGATTATTTTGTATTACTTGCCCAGCCTCAGATACCACTTGCTGATCGTATAGTCACCCGTGGGCAGCTGCATAATTTACTTCGCATCCCATTCCTACCCAATCCTGCTGGGAGATGTTCTATCCAATTTCTGGGCAGCACCACATGGAACTCTCTACCCGATGCTACCCGCTCTCTAACAAACCTTGTTCATTTCAAAAAATCTCTTTCAGATCTTGATCTCACTTCACTCCATTAGCTATTGACACACGAGTACGTTCTGTCCCCTGTCCATCACCAATATTATCTACATGTACAACCACAACACACATAAAATACACTGCTGCATGGTATTTTTATAATTGTCCTGCTGACAGTCATGACATATTATCATATTAATCTATCATACTATTATATTTTTCATCATAGCCTAGGAGCTGTGGCATCATTAATGATCCACAGCAAGAAGGCAGCAATGCCTGTACCTATGGTGAAGTAAAATAAAGCTAACATAACATAACATAACGCCGTCCTGTGAGTTGCGCCCAAAAGAGAACAAACACCTTTTCAGTTTTGCTTGCCTCGTGGCAGCGCATTACTTTCTTCACTTCAGCCATGGCTGCCAGTTCTGCTGTGCAGTTGCTGACAGTAATCTGTCTCGAGGTAATCAAGGAGGATAAGGAGATGTTCAAAATCAAATCTGGAAAGCCTCATGTGGTTCTCGGAAGACGTTTCATCAGTGCGCGGGATGAAAGCAGAAATTGCAGAACGAAAAAAAGTTCAGCACAGTTCAAATCTGACGAGTCAGGTACACCGACACTCTCTTTCGTTCGACGCCACAAGGATCCCCTGTTTGGCTGGCCATTGCTGCCAGTAAGACGTTTGAACGGTTTCATCAGAGCGAGGGATGAAAGCAGAAAGCGGAGAACGAGAAAAGTTCAGCACAGTTCCAATCTGATGAGTCAGATACACTGACACTCTCTTTCGTTCGACGCCACAAGGATATCCCGTTTGTCTGGACAAGAGCTGCCTGTACCACCGTGTCAAAATTCTGTCCAACTACATGGCAGGACGATGACTGAGGTAAGGAAGCTTTTACTCGTTTCGATTGGTCTGCTGTTCTGTCGTAATATGCTTGAGTTTTTTTTACATTTTCAAGGAGCATATCGCGTTTGTTTGATGTTGCTTGAATGAATGCCCTAAAAGTAATCAACCACTTCGTAATAACCCTCAGGGACTGCAAGGACTTTGCATCAATCGTATACGATCGTCTAGCTATCATCAATTGTTATTTTATTTCATGAGAAATGTATTTTCATCCCTATGATAATTATGTGAACTCCACGACACTCTTCCTCTACTAAGGCTCTAGTATGATGTCAAATACAATGGGATCCACAAACGCAGTGCCAGTGTACTTGTAGTAGTAGGAGGAGGATTTCTTGTATGCCGATGACAAGAAAAAGCTTCTCAAGCTAATACATGTACTCGTATTCCATGAAGTAACCTTTTTGATGTGACAAACATGACACTGTGTCAGTGAAACTGCCTCGTGACAACAAATCGTTGCATTTCCATCTCGGGGAAGACTGACTGACGGCAACGCTGTACAGATTGTTCAAATCATCTCATTTCAATTTAGTTGCAGTGAAGTGAAACACTGTGTACACTACATGTATGGTGGTGTGTCTGTGCGGCTTGAGTGTGCACAAACTTCTTATTCCTCGTATTACTAATAGATTATTGTCCCCATCGTCACCTGTTCACAGGTCTTTGAGTGGATGGATTTTCATTGAGCATCACATTCGTTGAGAACTTGGTATTTGTGTGCTCCCATGCATCATTACGGTAATAAGCGTATCCTTGTGTTATCTATTTGTTGCAGGTGTGCTGATCTTCAGAAGCTTGCGGAACTGAGTGCTGCTGAACATTTGCATGGCCATGAGCAATGGTGAAGCTTGCTATTGCACTCTCAGCATGTGCTAGTATTGTGCTGACTACTGCACTATGTAACTCTCTTACACTACTACATGTACATGTATGTAAACGTGCGTGCATCCGCCCACGGCCACGTATGTATTCGTTTCGTATAATTATTTGTTATCCCTCTTGACTTTACGTGTAAATGGGTGGACGTTTGCATGGCTGTTGGAGCTGCGTGTGTATTGTGTCTCTACTCTTTTCTTGGTGTTTTCTTGCCGTTGTATAAGTTTGTGTGTGTGTCTGTGCGCACGCACAATGATTTGAAAACAAATAATTAATCCTTGGCTCTCCATTATTATCTTTCGATTCTTGGTTTTTTTCTAGGTATTTTCTTGGCGTTGTGTGGGTGTGTGCGTGTACAATAATTTGGCAACACTACATGATTGAGATATTGTAATTTGCAGCGTCTGCGAAGAGACCACTTGATTTGGGGATGGTGTTTGTAGGGTTTTCATGTAATGAAGTGGCTGCAGTGGCGCCTCTACTTATTATTTATTTTGAGAAGTGAATGATGTAAAGGATTAAAGGGAGAGGCCGTTTTCTGGTTAATATTCACTTCTTACAGCAGATCCTATGTCTAATTTCGAACTCTGGATAGGGGATGCCTAATTGGCTGGACTTTATACAGGAAGTGTTGTCCACATAAAGACTCTTTATAGTTGATTTCATAGTTTGGACTCCGTACAGTTGATTTTGGACCAATGGACACTATATAGGGGTGAAGCCAATTGGCTGGACTCTATACAGGGAGTGATGTTCATCTAAACTTTGAGCTCTCAGTTGATTCCAAGTTTGGACTCTGTACAGTGGACCAATGGACTCTATATAGGGGTTGGACATCATATAGGGGCTGGACGCTCTACTGAGTCCAACATACGGCTTATCACTAAATATCAAAAGAACTTGAAATGTGACATTACACAATAATCAACTCTTTTCTACCCTCAACTTTAGTCTGTATATGACATTAAGCAATAATTTTAACTCTTTTTTACAGTCAACTTTAGTATGTGACATTAAACAATAATCAACTCTTTTCTGCCCTCAAGTTTAGTCTGGTGATCAAGTTGTGCCAAAGCTTAAAAAGGATAAACCACGTGATCATAGTACTTCAAAGTCGTAGATCATTTTTCTGTCACTGTATGTGCCTCTGCTATGCACAGTTCCACCTACCGTACTGTCATTGAACACATCGGATTATGTGAACAACAACAACACTGTGCACCCAATCAGTTGTAAAGGTCAGGGATACCCAGAACCTGCAGTGACAATAATGGTCAACAATGTGGTAGTGACAGGCAACGATACCAACAATTGTACTGCTGGTGTTTGTACAAAGACACACACGGCATCTCTAGATGGTAGTACCTACACACCTGGCCAGTCCATCAATATCACCTGTACTGTGGATATCAACCAACCACCATTCACCTGTTCTGGTACTGAAACTTCAACAGTACAATCACAGTGTACTGCTGCTGCCAAGACTACGTCACACACAAGAACTGTCCCTGTAGTTGGTAAGCACCAAGTTGTGTCTGCAATTATTTTAACACGGAGTCCATCATTTCCTTTAAAATAACACTTAACCCTCATTCCTGGTTGTGGGGTCCAAACGGACCCCAGGGGTATGATTTTTGAAATATTCTTAATTCGCTGCATCACATCTCCCTGAAAATTCATGCATTCCTGAACAACACACTAACCGAGGTAAATGAATAGTCTGGGTTAGAGGTTCATGATGGATTTATGGGCAGCAAAGGGTTAAATTGCCAGGTCGAATGCATTGCTGTTTCGCATATTGATATTTTTTCAAAACGAAACTCTCCTCGACCCACCCACCCACAAACGAAACTGTTTTCCTTTCGTGTGAAAGATCGATAATTATGGACATCTCCTTATGCTATACTGTGAAAGGTGTGTTAGCGACCTCTGTGTTAAGCGACCGCCTGCTTTTGGACAGTTTTTCCATGCACGGACAGAAATACACAGAAACTACACCGGATACAGCGACCACCTGTCTTGCGCGACCAAGTGTACCTGCACACAGCGACAAAAACTAACCAAAAGTGCCATTTTGCCTGTCAGGTTTGACAGCAACAGGGTTAAAGGGCACTCTGAATTATGTGCATGCAGTCAACAGAAGTTACCAGGCACCGTGCAGGATGCTCTGTGTGTACTTCAGCGAGGCGTGCTTTGCTGCAGAAAGTATTCTTTGCTCCACACTTGTCAATATGAGTATAATGGAAGTACAAACATGCACATGTACGTACACAATCCGATATGTCACGGATGTATGGGTCCTGGTTCCAAAGACCACCTGGCTTTAACAACCGCTTTTGCATGCACCGTGGGGTGGTCGCTTAAAGCAGGTCCTACTGTAGTATAATCATAGTGAATCAAGAGCGCTCCTGCCATAGGATATTCCCTTGCCTGTGTGTTCTTCGACTCTAAATAAACAAACAAGAACAACAACAACAACCCTAGAATACTACAATGCCCTCTGTTCTGGAATATACCCAGCTTGTGGTGAATCTTGCATGACCTTTCATTGTACTCAGGTTTCATTTCTTTTATTCTAGTGCATGCTGCTGGCGCCTGATGTATTGACTATTGTTACCGCAGGCCAGTCTCAACCTTTGCATTGTCTGAGATTCAAGTAGCGTATCGTCTGATGCATGTGCTGTCTCCATGCTATCTAGTCGTAATATATTCACTCGTCTTTGCATTTGTGCACAGTCCTGTGGATACTCGCAGGCTGCGGTTGCGCTCTCGCTTTGGTCATTCTAGAATGTATACTTCCATGCCTTTGAAGTTTTTTAGTTGTCAGTTTTGAACTGTAGGAAGCAGTTTACAGTTTGTTGTTCTTGCAGTTTTATCTCAGAGGAGAAAGTTCTTGGTCTCATACTGTTACGAGTTGCTGTTGTATCTGGTTGAACGCATGCCGGGGCAACAGAGGGCAGCATGAGTAGCCATAGTGGTCCTTCGAACCGGATCTCAGAGCCAGATCCAAGAAGTCCTGCGCGACGACGAGCAATTCCCAGGCGCTGAGTGTAGACGGAGCTCGCGGTCTACCAAAGGGAGACCGCCGAGCAGATACGGGTTTGATAACTGGAGTGACGTTCCGGACAGCGTGAGCTCTGCAGGACATGCGGCCTCGAAAGTTTCAGGAACTGATGCGTCGCAGGCGTCACTTCGTGCAGAGATGCTTCGTGTAGAACTTGAGGCTGCAAGGCAAATCGCTGAGCTGGAGGAGGAAGCCGAGACACGCAAGTTGGCTCGTGAGACAAGTTTGGTGCAGAAGGAACTGGAGGTTCGAAGAGCCGAGGCTGAATCTGCAGCTGCACTACGATCCGGGTCAGGGAGCAAAGTGTCGTCTCGCAAATCAGAGACTGGAAACGCTGAATCCAGTGGCAGGGCAATATTGACTGCCAAGAGTCTTGCTGAGCACGACAAGTTGGTCGGACCTGGTCGAAAATTCGTATTACCACCGCATGAGCACTTCAGAACGATGAGTGATGTCGGTGGAGTGAACGGACAACGCGACCACGGCAAGCCAAGGAGTTTGCAAGGTACGTTTCGTACTGTGAATGCGCCCACACAACCTGTGGCTGTATTAGGTGTGGCGGAAGACAGCCCAGCTCAGTCAAGTACATGTAGTGTCAATGCGTTTGGCGTGCCTGCCCTGGGACCAGTGGCGCAAGCATTCATGCACGCGCCCGCTCAAAAGTCTGTGACCAGTACAGTGCTGTCAGTAGTGCCAGCCAAGAAGTCAATGGCCAGTGGTGCGCCTGTAGGACGTACTACAGTGTCCATACAGGCAGCTAGTAATGCAGTGATTGTACAGCCAGCAATAAGCAGTGCAGCAGTACAATCAAGACTGCCTGGCAGTAACAAGAAGGCAGTATCAATGCTGGATGCAACACCACCATGGCATACACCACAGAAGCATACAGCAGTGGCCAAACAGCAAACTGCTTGGGTTTACCACCCACCCCCGAGCTGGTGGTGTTACCCTTGCATTGGGAAGCTGGGTGGCGACCTCGGCAGATTTGGCAGATGAAGGACCAGGAGCAAGAGCACCGACCCGCATTGAAATTGCGACAGACTGATTGTCCTGGGGAGGCTGTGCCCTTTGAGTTATTAGCCAAGCCGGAAAACTGTTTGTAGGGAGGAAAAGACAGCGTCCATTAGCAGAAGGCGGATGTGCAGCGCCGCATGGCGGGCAGGCGGACCGAGCGCGTCTTGTTGTCGCCAGCTGCCACAGGTTTGGGTCAATGATGTCCCACTTCAGCGACGGGTCGGCAGCAGCCTTGATGCGGAACTTCCTGTCATATTCCAAACACCCTTCAGGCGTGAATTTGCGATTAGCCTCGAGGATGAGGCCCTGGCAACACAGCAACTCCGCTGACCTGTGCGGGGCCACGTCGACAATGACCTGGCTCAGGATCGTGTAGGCTTCCACCCGCAAGGTCATGAACGTGCCTGCTCTTGCCAGGGGCAGCCCCGTCCTCGACCACCCGCAATGGGCCCCCATCTGACATCTCAAAAACGGAGCACGTTCTGTGTGCGGGCGTGCGGCACAGAGCAAGACACAGAGGGCAAAAGCTCACTCAATTCCACGTACTCACCCAACAAAATCCGCTCGCGATGTTTAGTTCCCAGGTGTGTTGCGAACGACTTGCTGCTACCTGAGCTGGCTGAGAGAGGAGCCGGGTTCGTACGAGATAGAGAATCGGGAAACATGGCCGCCAGAAGTGTTGGCAAAGTCTCCGACACGACCGATACTTTGGTGGAGCGGATTGTGTCGGGAGTTATCGCCGACGTCGGAGGCACAGACGGCGCCAATGGCTCGCGTTCTCTGTTGCCTGCTCCGCTCGCCATGCTCGGGGCAGACTCGCAGGATTCAGCGTGACGAACTTGGGCCTGAATCAGGCGATCAACGAGGGCAGCCTTCCGGCCCGAAGTATCCAAATCCAACAGCGAGAGTTTGCTACAGAGACGCGGAACCGTCATGGCGCGTATTTCTTCGTCAGTATTTGTATATTTGTATTTTGTATTTATGGATTCTCCACAGGCCTTAGCCTAAATCGAGGGAGTCTCCGTCAACAGCTTATGAAGAAGAAGCTGAGGAGAAAAATATAAATAGGAAATAGAATGAGGCGGGGTCGTATTAATATAACACAGTGCTCTATGACATCGCTACTCTACGTGGAACGAAACCAGAGGGCTCATAACGGGTGATAGCAAAGTGTGTGCGGACAAGAGCGGTAAAACATTTTGGGCTGGATACAGTACGAATGGCAGCCGGGAGGGAGTTCCATGTGACAGTGGTGACAAAGAGAAAGGTGGCACGGGTGTGTGTGCTGGCTCTAGCAGGTGGGAGTGGATGTTGGGGGCGCCTGGCGCTGTTTGACACTGAGTAGCCTAGGTCCTCCAGGGTCGTCATCTGGCTATTGATAAGGTGGTGGAGCTCAAGAAGCCAGTAAAAGCAGCCATGGCTTCGCGAGAACAAGGAAGTTTAGGCAGCCATGTCTTCGCGAGAACAAGACGCGGAACCGTCATGGCGCGTATTTCATCGTCAGTAAAGGCAGCCATGGCTTCGTGAGAACAAAGACGAGAACGAGTCAAAGCACAACGACCGCAAGGAGCGAATAAACTCACAAACAGTGAAACACTACGAGCACGCAAGAATGATTGTCGCACAGAACGAATCGAAATATATAGCGGAGCACTCTCGCAAGACATGCAAACGATGCATGCCACCCACGTTGAGCGCTACAAGCAAACGTCATCATAACGCCGCCACACGCTTTCCACATTGGAGGCGAGCGACACACATGAACGCCACACGCTTTCCACATAGGAGGCGAGTGTTCAATGTCACGTAGAGAGATGCATTCAATATCATGCAGAATGCCAAGCCGTACAGAGACCATAGCCAGCAGCAAAGCATGAGCATGCAGTAAAAAAAAGAAAAAGTATATTATCGTATCCGTTCCCGAAGGAAACTCACGACGGCCGCTAACACCCGATAAACCCTAGCAGATCTCGCCACCTCTTCATGCAGTAACAGCACTATTAAACATAGCAGCATAGATTGAGCGGTAGCACAAAGCTGCGTGCGCCCATTAATCTGCATTATCACCATAATTGTTCAGAAGACAGTATGCAGTGGTGTGCGTTCTGTGTGTTTTCTGTGCGTTCTCTGTGTGTTCTCCGTGCGATCTATGTGCGCTCTGTTCTCTTGTGTGTTCCCTGTGCGATCCATCTGTTCTTCATGTACTGTGCAGAAGACTCCAGATATTGTAGAATTTACGAGTGTCACAATTATTTATCTACTGTGTTTATTCTATATTTTGTTTATCCTTCGTTCTTCCGAAAGCACAGTCAAAGCGCTTACTAGGAGTTAGTTACTAGTACATCACTGATTGTTACAAGCAGTTTACAGGTTACAAAACAGCTGGTGTTGTTTCTAAGTTGATTATCTCGAATTTGAATTGTTACTTATCTTTGCATTCCTTCAGAAAGTCCCTTCTGCAGCTCTAGTCCGTCCAAGTGTAGGTTCTGCTCTGACAAGGTTTGCCTTCACCCTGTGGGTGCTAACACTCTCTGACAGGAAATTGCTTTGAGTTCCTATCAGCACAGATCTTCGTTTTCCTTGTTCTTTCAACTAATACTTCCTTCGACTTCTACTTTCGAATTTCACTGTTTGTATTATTTTCTGATTTTTCTTGATTTTCCATTATTTTTGTCCACTGCGTGCCAGTACAGCTTGTGTATCGTCATGGCAGCATGATATCATTGTTCTTCTCATATGCATGCAAGTGATCTCCACATTTCTTCTTTGGAGCGCTGTGTGCCACGTAGCTTTGCGTGCGCCAGTGTTTTCGTTGTTGAGAGTTCTTGAGAAGACGAGCAAGTTGTCGTTTCGGTTTCTGATGTGCGGTGGAAAGCGGCTCCACGCGTACAATAATGCTACACACATACATACACACACCTTGACCTTGATCTTGCCCATTGCGTACGCAATGATAGCGAATGTCGGAAAGTTCAAGTGAGAACACGAGCGCAGAACTTGGCACGTCGTTTTAGGTCTCCTGGTCGACGAAACGGGCATCCACAGACTCATAGAAGTGGATCAGGAGCGGGCCATGGCTGTGGAGCTCTACTTGCAACTCGTCTCCAGCCGGGACGATCTTGGCAACTCTCAAGCCAGGTGGTCACGCCGAGGTCCACCAGATCAGTCGACACCACATCTCGCCACCTCTTCTTCGGGCCGTGACGAGGACGGGGGGAAGGCAGCTCGCTGAACAGCAATTGCTTCGGTGCACGCGAGTCGTCCATCCTGCTGATGTGACCCAGCCAATGAAGCCGGTGGCGACGGATGATGCTGGTGATGTCAGGGTCAACACTGAATGTAGCCGCTAAGGTGGCCGTTGAGATCCGATCATCTCACTGTTGACGACGGCCGATACCCACGATGGACGGAACACACTGATGGTGAAACGTGTTTAGCTTCTGGAGGTGGCCTGCCTTGGTGGTCCACGTCTCCGCACCATACAAGAGGGTCGTGAGGACGACAGCCTCATAGATACGCCTCTTGCTGCGAAGTTAAGTCTGTATGTGATATTACACAATAATCAACTCTTCTCCACCCTCAACTTTAGTCTGGTGATCAAGTTGTGCCAAAGCTTGAAAAGGATAAACACGTGCTGATCATAGTACTTCAAAGTCTTCGATCATTTCTCTGTCACTGTATGTGTCTCTGCTATGCACAGTTCCACCTACCATACTGTCATTCAACACATCGCATTATGTGGACAACAGCAACACTGTGCACCCAATCAGTTGTACAGGTCAGGGATACCCAGAACCTACAGTGACAATAATGGTCAACAATGTCGTATTGACAGGCAGTGATACAACCAATTGTACTGCTGGTGTTTGTACAAAGACAGGAACAGCATCACTAGATGGTAGAAGCTACACACCTGACCAGTCCATCAATATCACCTGTACTGTGGATATCAACCAACCAAAATTCAACTGTACGTTTGCTGATGAACCAACAATACAAGCACAGTGTAATACTGCCAAGACTACGTCACAAACAAGAACTGTCCCCGTACGCGGTAAGAACTATGTTGCCTTATGATGTACTTGTGTAATTTAGCAAGGAAAATGATGCGTAGCCCTGGCGCCAGGTTCACGGTCAGGCCTGTGAGCACACATTCGTACACACACACACACACACACACACACACACACACACACACACACACACACACACACACCATGTACCATGACATACGCCTGTCGAAGGAAAGCATGCCAGTGCACAGGCAGCAATACTCCCTCATGTTCATAGCAATGAGAGCGGACAAGGTCACAATGACATTGATCAAGACTTGCACTAGGTAACTGCTCAATCCACATAACAGTTGGAACCATGTTATGTGAATCCAGCACCAAAGGATACCTGATCATGGTACATACATAGTACGTTGAGAACCCACACACGCACACACGCACACATGCACGCATGCACACGCACACGCATCCATACATCCATGCATGCAAGCACCCGCGCACGCACACAATCACACATGCATGAATGCACACACGCGCACGCCCACACACACACACACACACACACATACACTCATGCCCATAAAATTAATATGAATGGAAACGTTCCCATTCACTCGCGTGCATCTACAACGCATACACTCACAATCAATTGACACGTTGGGTTGGGAGTTGCCATGACTTATTATCAGATAAAGATATTAAAAAAATGCTTAATGCAGTTTGTAGTCTGCATGTATAATAATTATGATAGTATGTGATGATAGACCATTTCCAAGGAAGCAGTAGACAATAGTTGAGCTTACATATAATCATATTCATTCATCAACGATTCATACTGCTCACAAATGGGCCACCGAGGGCTAGCCCACAGCTCCGAGTGCTAAATGATCCTGTGTGACGTGGACTGCTAGCATACTGGCTATCAAGGGCACGTAAATGTCCACCACGGATAGCAATCTGTCCACTGAGGCTGCATGAACTGCCGCTGAGGCCAACAACTTACCCACTGAGGCTACATGAACTGCCGCTGAGGCCAACAACTTACCCACCGAGGGTTAAAACATACTGCCCAATCTAGGGCAGACAAGCGGCTATAAAGGCTAGTAACCTGCCCACCAATGGCCAAAGCAAACTTGCCATCAAGGAATGAAGCAAATTTCCCACCAAGGGCAAAGCGAGATTCACAGTTGCGAACAGTTACAGTGGAGTCCTGATATAACGAACTACATTGTGCAGAACAGTTTGTACTTTATAGCCGAAGTTTGTTATAAAAGAAATGAACTCATACCAGTATACAAGCAGCAAGTCATGACTGGCAGGATTGGATTGGTACGAAAACAGAGACTGAATTTTATTACACCTCATCTAAGTAACCTTCTTGGTATTGCATCTTCCCCTCCTGCACAATGTCCAGCTTTCTCATGCATTTGTTTACCGCTGCCTGAATGGGCGTGCTAGTCCTCTTCTGGGAGATCACTTTACCTTGCTCGCCCATGGCACCCACATTGCAGCCACCACCCATGGCCAAGTTTCTGCCCCCTGCTAACACCCGATATGGCTTCAGTGCGGCTGCTGAATTACTCGCTGCCAGGTGGAACACACTTCCACCGGCTTGCCGCCGCCTGTCTTGTTCACCAGCAGAGTTTCACCCATCATCAATCTATTCCTAGGGTTGCCTGTAAAAAGGTGTTACCGCCTCTTGGGAATTCCCCAGTAAAATAAGAATAGAAGAAAATAGAAGAAATCACATGGAAACGAGAAGCTACTAAGTACTATCCACCACTCTAACAGTCAAGCAGTCAGAAAGTACGATAATAGGGCACAAACTGACAGGCTACTGAGACATTCAACGAACTGAGGCCTTGCCCTAACACATCTCCAGTGTGCAAACCAACAGCCGTCCAGCTGTTTTCAAACCTGGCACGTGTACGCGTGAAACCACGCGTTTGTGCGTATTTTGCTGGCTTTTGGGGCGCCATGCGTACGAAAATGTGCCGAAAAGGAAATTCCAACATGTTGGGATTTTCAGCGCGTATCAGGCGCATACCAGCGTACGTGCCAGTCACTTTGACTTGCGGGATAAAAAATTAGTACTTAAAGGTGTCGCACGCGCTAAATACGACTCGGATTGCCGTTCTTTGTGAAATCCTGAGCGTGCGTTTGGGCACGCATGAACCACAAGCGTACCGCGTCCACGCGCCATTTGTGAACACAGCTTTAGAATGTTCAAGGTTTACCATCATGGTAGAACCAAGAGTTCATAACCCCTAGAGTGTGCAACGCCCCACAAATCTCTGTCACGACTCGTTTTCAACATTACGTCATTTTCATGTAGCTGTGCGTGCAGGCCGCAACATTCGCTACATGAAAATGTACATGAAAGTGACGTAATGTTTAAAATGAGACGTGACAAGACCCTATCGCGAGATGCACACTCTAGGGGTTATGGACATTGGTAGAACCAATGAGGGGAAGGCGAGCGCAGCGAAAATGTGCACAAGCTAAGTCCTGCGGCAACAAAGAATGACGACCGTTACAGGACGATGGCGAGACCAGTTGATAACATGAAATTGCGAGCAGCGGAGTAATAAAAAAGCACTCAATGCGACATAAACTTACTGCGCGTATGCAAACACAGCATGATGTTCGGATTGCGCACATGCTATCCTTCGTTGGTACGTAGTACGAACGTACCTTAGACATGTGATGTGAGTTTTCGCCGACGAAGATCCCATACGCAGAGGTGCACACTCTTGGAGAGTTATATACTGTTGCTGTCATGTTTAGTCATGATCATGACTCAGCTGATTCTACACTTTACCCTCCCAGCTCTCCACTCACACCACATCTGCTGCATCCTTAAGGCCGATTCACAATACAACTTTCTGCGACGCGACATGCGACTTGCGACACATGCGACGAGCTGCGACAGCGACACACGGTTCACAATATTCTTCATGTTTGCGACATCATCATGCACAAGTAGTACTATGCACGTGCACTGCACGTGCACCCAGGGTCGAAACTGTATTCCATTTGTGTATGTCGCGTGTCGCATGTCGCAAAAGTTGAACTTTCTTCAACTTCTGCGACAGGTGCATTGCGACAGCTTGCGACAGCTTGCGACAGCTCGCGACAGGCAGTTTCTTGTCGCAACTGTCGCAAATCGCGTGTCGCGTCGCAGAAAGTTGTATTGTGAATCGGGCTTTACATGTAGCACTGATACCATGAGTGCCACAGCTGTAATCTTGCACCATCATC